TTTAGGACTCAGATTTGAACGTTCTCTGAGGTTAACAATCCAAACTCAGTGCTATTTGGCTAATACTGTAAACTAAGAAGCCAACCTGAGTTGTGTATTCCCTCAGCTCAACCACAGGAATGGAAAAGGCATTTGGGACCTAAAGTTTCTGTACTAATTGGACCCATTTCTAGCTTCAAGTTACACCACTGATTTCAAAAGGCAATTGGAATTGTACCGAGGGCAAGTTTTACCTTTTGTGTTTTAATAATCACGCCATTAATCACAAAGGTGGGGGGATTTGCTTCTTTAAAAAAAACAGGGGACTAGATACTGTATACAGTGAAAATCCAGGTTAAATTCAGAGTAAATCTTACGAAGATAATGGAGTTTATACTGATGTAATCAAGAGTAGGCTTTAGTCTTGTGTTTTATTTTGATGGTGTCTCTTTAACCACATAGCAGAATACAATTACATTTACCTTATAAAAGGGTCTTTGATGATGTTATGCCAGAAAAGTAGGAAGCATTGAAACCAATTAGACCTGTTCTACAGCCAGATTTGTACTGGTTGTTTTGTTTTGTTTTTTTTAAAGTATGATTCTAAAGCTATTTATTTAAACAGTTGCAAAACGTCTCTGTCCATTCCTAACATGATCTAAGTCTGGCTTATTTTGATTCAGCTCAAACTGATTCCTAGCTGGCTTAGACTGAATCGATATGAGCTGGAGTTAAATGGTTTTCAGATGGCCCACAGGACCTTGCACCCATTCAACTAAATTGATTTTAAAAGAGATTTGAGCTAAGCCAGTGGCATTTTTATGGGAAGCCATTAAAAGCAGCAAGGCAAATTCAGCAGTGACATGAACACTGTGGCTAAGTTATGATGGGTAGAAACAGAAATAAGCAAGTGCACATGTGCTTCTGTAGCAATTTATCTAAACTGGCCGGTTGTGCCAGTGTAGCATTGGGATTTATCAAATAAGTATAAAAAAGCACATGCTTGTATTATATATTAATTATTTGCATAGCAGTTTTGCCTCTGGGGAGACGGTGAATGAAAGAATGAACCACGCGGGACAGAATTAATCATGTCACTTAATGCATGACTGGAAAGCATTCAGATGGATGGTGAGGAGGGTAAATTATTCACAGCATTATGGAGTAGACTCCAGAAACAAGCTGGATGCTTTGCAGAGCAAGTGACCTACACAGACATTGCTGTACTATCTAAAGGCCAATCCTGCAAAGGTACATAAGCCTCTGGTAAGCGTGGGTCAGTTCTGCAGAGGATCCAAGTCAGATACAGCCCTGGGGAGACAGTCTTGGCTCTTCAGTTCCAACTGTAGCAGCTCACGTATTTTTGGCTGTGGAAAGCCCTAGTTTGGTCCCTGAGGTGTTAACAGGTGTCTGTCATTATGCATAAACGTGAGCAACATCCGTTCTAATGGGACTGCTTGTGGTCGCAAGAGTTACTCAGCCTTGGTCTGTGCAAATTTGGGTGCTTCTGTTCTCAGCTTGTTTTGCTCATCTCCCAGCTGGAGGGGACTCAGGAAACCTTTGTCTGACAAGCAGCGCTGCTCAGTGTTCATGCAGAAGGAGGCAACCAAGGCAAGGTGACTTGCTGGCTGCATTCCTTCTTCCATGTGTGCTGTCTTCACTCTGCGAACCTTCCTGAAAGCAAAGTCATCTTAGTTCTTAGACCTTATCTCACACATACTCATGCTGCCATTCTGTATTGCCCCCTAGTGGGAAGCTCTCTGTCATTATATCCCTTTTGTCATGAGTATGAGGCATCTAAATTAAGGACTAACCTGATTACACATTTACGGTGTGTATTGTAGCTCCATCACGTTTCTCTGTCACTCTTTCTGTACATAGGTATAGAAATCTCCATCAATTCCTTTTATTTAATTAACCACCTCCTAGCTTCCTTGGCAATTTGTCTCTGGGTTTGGGAGGGTTATTCTTTCACACCACAGTTTTGTGTATGCCTGGCAGGCAGCTTGATGTGGGAGTGAGCACAAGTTTTTCTTGTGACAACAGGAAACTGCTCGCGTGTTTTTGTATTTTTGAGTCAGTTGTGTGACCTGCTGCTCCGTCCCAGACCCGCGTTCCTCCATGTTCTGCTAACGCGGAGGGTGTATTTCTTCCTCTGTCAATGCTGGCTAAGTTTTAGCAAAATACCTGCCCACCCCCTGCTACATCTTAAGAACAAGGATGCATCTGTTCAGCAGTTGAAGCTTGCTTCCGAGCATGTGATTTTTCCTGAGGAAATCGCTTGATAGTTTGCCCGAGGGACTGCCGTTCTGGGAGGTCCTGAGCTTTTTGAGAGGCCTTTGGTCTGAGGACGTCCCCTGTTCTTTCCTGTCTGTTGCCCCTTCGGGCCCTGCCGGTTGCAATGACCCCGGGGCTGCCGGTGTCTTCAGATAAAGTGCTGAATTGGGCTGGCACCAGGCAGCGGTCTCCATGAAAGAGATCCCGGGTGCTCTGGCACGCTGCAGACAGGCCACACAGCTACTTTGCTTTGGAAGAGCTTCTTTAAGACTTTCGGCAGTTTTAGCTGCCGGCCGTGCTCGGCCCTTTGAGGGGGAGGGGGCAGCAACCGGGGCCGTGCCCTAATTCCCGCTCCCGCCCAAACTGGCCAGCGAGGGAACTGGGCCCACTGCTGGGCCAAGGCGTCTTGTTCTCAGAGGCCCGATGAGGAGCCTGGCCGGGGCAGCGGGCAGGCCGTGACGTCCTCAGTGCGCGCGGCTCCCTCTACCCGTCGAAGGCGAAGGTCTCCCCACGCGCCCCCGTGACCTGGGTGCCTGGACAGGGGCACCCGGGCGGAGCGGATGGGTGTAGGGCACCACGTGAGGCTATGGGGAGGAGGCCCCATCTCCAGGCGGGGGCAAGGCCGCAGGGACCTCGCGCCATAGAGAGGCCGGGCGCGGCCTAGAGCGTCCCAGCCGGCAGCCCGTCACACTAGCGGCGTGACGCACAGGCGCCAGGCCACGCCCCTTCCTCTTCCTGCCCCACCACCCACCCAGCGGCCGCGGAGTCACGTGTCCGGCGCGAGCGCGGCCACTTCCGGGTGGGGGCGGGGCTCCGGGGCGCGGACCACGGCGGCGCCATGCGGAAATTTTTCCAGGAGATCAAGGCGGACCTTAAGTTCAAGGCGGCGGGGCCCGGGCAGAAGCTGGCGGAGCCGCCCAGGTGCGGGGCCGGGGCGGGGTCCTGGGGCCGGGCAGGCGGGCAGCAGCCCCGGTGGGTCTAGGGAAGGATCTGGTGAGTCTGGTTGGCCCCAGTGAATCTAGTGAGGGAGCTGCTGGGTCTGGTTAGTCCCAGTGGGTTTAGCAAAGGTCCCATAGAGGTTTCCCAGCAGGTCGCAGCGCCCTGGGGCTGGCGCTGCTTCTGGTACTGGCCCAGCGTGAAGCTGCGAGGGCTGGAGCTCATCACCCCGTTGCCCTCGTCAGGGTGGCACGGTGGCACTCGCTGTCCCATGTCGCTCGTGCCGTCTCCGGTCGGTTTGAGCATGACCTCAGGAGGCACCGGGTCCCCCGCACCAGCCTGAATCAGGCATAAGGGGCGTGGGTGAAGGAGCTGCATTAACATTCAAGGTTTCATCTAGCAGCAGAAGGCGGCAGGCAGGTGACGTGGGCCAAATTATGTAAAGTCAAGACTCGGGGAAGAATTGTGAGTTTTAGGCGGGATGCATTCGCTGGAGCAACTGCTGTGAATGAAGGATCGGAGGAGCGTAGCTCTGAGGCTGCAGGGAATAGGCGAGAAGCAAGGCGTGTTTGGTCATCCCTTTCACTGCCCCCTCATGCCCGAAAACACACCAGTCCTTCCCAGGTCTGTGTTTGATCCAGTAACACGTATCGCCAAACAAACCAGGCTCCTCCCAAGCTGCCCAAAGGCTGTGCTGCCTGGCCGGGCTGCCTGGTTTCT